TTTGTACAACATTGTTTGTAGTTTTTCTATTGGCTGACATATCTAAATACTTATGTACGTAAGGTTGTACATATATGGATTACATATTTTGCAATGTCATACCTATATTTTTACATACATACATGTAGAATACTGCACTCACATGTATTTATTGTTAAGTGGATTTATTGTTAAGTCATAATATCAAAATTTCTATTCCATACTACATACACACAAATGACATCAATATTGCCGACTATGTATGTACATAAATAAATTATTAATTTTGTAACAATTGAAATTAGAAAAATTATTAAAAAAGTAAATATCAATTTTTCATCATAAAAATAGTTTCTATGACAATAAATTATCACGCATATGTGAGGTGGCATTTGTAACTTTTGTTCAAAGTATTTAATATTTCTCTTTATTTTGTAGATACGTATTTCTGCCAGAGAACGTTGTTACAAATTCTCACTTCTGTTAAATAGTAGAGAATACCACAGACAATTATAAATTCCCTTCTCGTTCATTTACGTTCTCTGCTTGAGCTCATATTTTTCTCTCAACTGCTAGAAAATAAATTCGTTCATAAAGATCCAACAAGTTTTATCGAGACAAAAGAAACAGGACAAAACTTACGATTTCAAGTGAACCCAAATTTTGCTAGAAATAAAAGTAATCCACTGTCAAATTAATCTAATATACATAAATATAAACGACATGAGAAAGTGGAACTGAAGTTCTCAAGCAAAATAAAAGTCAAAAATTCAAAATAAGGATCGAAAGAGTTTATCCAATTTAATATTTCGATAAATCATACCTATTTAAAAATATAGTTCAAGAACTGCACTTCTTTTCGAAATTCATATTAGGCTAATATTTCGAAATTATCAAACGTTCAAATCACATAGTGAAATTAATCATAGGTATATCTTAAAAATTAGTAGCACAATTCAAAAAGTAAAAAACACTTGTCAAATACATTTGGAGTCGGCAATTTTTCATTGTAAGCTACAAAACCGCTTTCGATTCGATTATTTATTTGATAGCCAATCAATAACATAAATATGGCGTTTGATTTCTGGCGTTTGGCTACCAGTGATTCCTTAGTATTTTTTAATTTTTTTAACTCAGTTATTCCAACAAATCCATGACGTAGGCAATAACAAAGAAATTTTTTATCATTCCTTTTTGTTTCTATGTGATAACCAGAGCAATTAATTTTGCTTGACGAATTGTTTTAAAGAAAGATCCATTGTTGTTTTTTAGGTTTTAGAATTCTTCATTTACTCCATTATTGTATTTGAATATGTCATACGGAAAAAACACAACCCCCATGTGATAACATCAGCATTTCCAAACTAACAAAGGTAATTGTTACGAGGTACATAAGTATGTATATTAAATTGATATTTTTTAGTGATGTAATAGTTTAGACGCGCACAGATTATTTGTTTAAATGATGACCATACATATAATAGATATATATAAAATTCATAATGAATAAATAAAGTTTTCAATAATACTTTTGAGATGATTCTATTATGTCCAAAAACAATTTACCAAAAGTAATCAGTCGTTTGTAATGTTTTGATTCTTTGTTTCAACAATAAATTTTTCAAAGGTTTCAACCAATAAAAATACATTTTTAGAGTGATAACTGAAGACAAACAGATTGTAAATCTCACAAAATCATTATAATGTTACCAGAAAAATCATGAGAAAACAAAAAACACTTTTTTGCACATTATGGATTAAAATTCTTTTTTTTTAAGGGGAGCACGCTCCGTATCGACACAACCTTATATAATTTAATCATGTACTTTTGATGATATTCAGTTATATTTTTTTGAAATAGGCCTATGTAATTAAGAACTGTCAAAACTAGTGTGCATATATGGCAGCCCGTTGTGTGGATTGTATTCGATGACGTCATGGGCGGAGCGGTTATTTTTCTCAGGCGCGCCATCCACAAACGCGCTTGTGTGAGTAGCAGTCGAGTGTTGAGATTGTGCGGTCGCGTTTTACGTATATTTGTGTGCTGAGAGTGTCAATTGTTGGATAAAAAGCAAAAGTAAAAAAAAACGTATCAAAATAGTTAAGAAAAAAGTGAAGTACTGAAAATAGCTGAAAAAGTAAGTGTTACCGGTTTATAAACTGAATGTGATAAGTAAATCGTAAGCGCTAGAAGAGCAACTAAAGAAAGAAGAATGAAAACAAAACAAACACAAAGTGGTTGAAATCTGTGATTTCCAATTAGAATTTCTAAGGAATTTGTTTTTTTTTTTTTGCAATCGCTAAATAAGCATTAAGTTGTATTTCTACCCAGATCAAACGAGCAAATGGCTTTGTGAATGCTATTTAGTAGATATATAGCATTAATTAGCAATTCTTAGTTGAAATTTTGTGAGGCTATCAGTTAATATCTTTCAATTAATACATATTGCAAAAAGCATGGCGATTCAATGTATAGGATGACGTAGTTCTATATCGGCGAACACCCAACACCCCACATATTTGCTGTGCTTGTATCGCTGCCGCTGCCTGCGATATGTAAATATGTATGTGTTTAATATTTTTAAATGCCTCTGAGAATTTTTTATTAAATTAACTTAATGCGGTATGCTAAAACGATGCTAAAACGATATTAGACGTTCTTGATATTTTTTCTTAATTGCATGTGTTAGTGCATTTGGGTCGGCTTTAGAATAACGTCCCACGCTTTCGGGGATAAAATGGGTATGGGCGGATAGAGGAGATCCTCCAGATCAAGAATATATATAGATATAGCCGCGGGAAACTTATAGTTTTCGAGATAATTGGGTTTAAAGTTCAAAATTTCAACTAATTAAAGTACGTATTTTTGCGATTTAAAATGAATTATACACTTTTTTTTGCACTTTTATATCCACTAACACTTAACTAATTCGTTTTTAGAAATTTTTTTTATATTAGATGCTGCAAAAATAGCTTTATTTCAATATTTAAATCATTGTCCAATTTTATTAATTTTGACAATAACAAAATGGTTGTGAATGTCCAAACATCATTGTTGCCATACTAATATATTTTGTAAACGAAGAAAAATAAAATAAACAGAGAGATTGTACCCTAGATACAGGAAACAACGCAAAAAGAATTTCTGCGCGTAAAAACTTTGGTACACCCCGGTGTTGGATCGACCAGGGTTATTTTTTTGAAGCGCGGCCGAAGGCCGCCAACGCAAAAAGGAGTTCTGCGCAAAAAAACCTTGATACACTCCGGTGTTGGACCGACCAGGGTTATTTTTTTAAAGCGCGGCCGAAGGCCGCCAACGCAAAAAGAAGTTCTGCGCGAAAAATATTTTGATACACCTCGGTGTTGGACCGACCAGGGTTATTATTTTGAAGCGCGGCCGAAGGCCGCCAACGCAAAAAGAAGTTCTACAAGAAAAAAGTAATATTGTCATTGAGGGTATAACATAATACTTAACATCAATGCTTTGTAATAGTTTATTTCTCTAGGTTTTGGATTCCTATATTTGGGGTATTATCTGTTTTAATTTCTTTCAGTTCAATTACAAAAGATGTCGATAAGGTAACACTGGTTATTTGAAATTTTGCAACCCTTTTGTTATGGTCAGAATTAATAGAATTTAACAATAATTCAATTATTGAATTAAACTATTTTTGCACTATATAATGTAAAATAAATGTGTACAAACGAATTAGTGAAGTGTTAGTGGATATAAAAGTGGAAAATATAAGTGTATAACTCATTCGAAATGGGAAAAATGCGTACTTTAAATAGTCGAAATTTTGAACTTTAAACCCAATTATCTTGAAAACTATAAGTTTCCCGCGGCTATATCTATATATATTCTTTATCTGGAGGATCTCCTATATCCGCCCATACCCATTTTATCCCCGAAAGCGTGGGACGTTATACTAAAGTTTTCCCGTGCATTTAAACAAATATAATATTATCTGTGTGATTTTACGAGCAAAAGTGTTTGTGCTAATAGAAACAAATCAAATATAAATATCTAGAAATTTTGCTTTATATCATAGTTTTAATTTATTATTTGTAATTTTATATTTAGGTTTCCCTTTTGTCCCACCGTGTATAATTATTGTGAAATAGTGTCAGTGCATTAGTAGCAACGTGAAAATTTGTGCAATTTAGTTAAAAAATTAAAACGATTTCCCACTAAAAAAATATAATACAAATCTACCAAAACCTAGAAGGATTCGTAAGATGGGCAACATTCATACGACTGGACCAAATGAGGCGTTAATTGTTTCAGGTGAGTACATTCACATCATTATTCAACACATTTTACAAGTAGAATACTATTTAAACAACACGACCGGCTTTTTGCTAGGATTACGTGTACAAAAGCTGCTTCTTCTTCTATGATATGTATATAAGTGCAATAAAAAAACGCTTCTACCAAACGGAAATGTGTAGCGCCGTCTGGGAAGACATGTATAACAGCACGGATGGAGCTGGCCTTATCTGGACATATACATACATACATTGTATGTCCTGTACGATGGTGCAGGTTCAATAACATTAATGCAAAAAAATCAATAAAGTGCCAAAAAACTTTCTATTCATTTCTCATTTGTTGCTTCCTTTAAATATTCAACTTTTTTGGTCATAGCGGCATAAATTCTTACGCATGACCACGTAAAAATATACGAATCCAGGCATGTGTGCAAATACTTGAAGCTTCAGAATTTAATACAAACGTTTTTTTTATTAAGTAGATATTAACAGAGTAGCCCTATAATTATACGTACATTAGTTTTTTTTTAATTAAACATTATATGTCATCGATTACAATATCTAATACATACTTAGGACTAAGTAAGGTCGGTATTACTGTTACAACAACAAAAGATGTGAGCGATGGTCTCAAACTGAACTATGATTTTTCTCAATTGTTTTCCTAACGAAATCTACAGGAAGAGGTTAGCAGGTATAGTCTCTCCAAAGACATGCTACAAATCGTTACGAATATTGTCGTCTCCTACTTTAAAAACACTGCTTATGTTTTTATCAATGCACAAAAATCTGATTTCTTTCTTTGTATGTGGGTACTTACTATGTTGAACAAAGTCAATGAATGTGACTAATGTAATATTCAATATAAATATACATATATACTTGTATGTAGATATACGTTATATGGGCTATAATTGTATAACTATTTCTTACTTGTAACTAATGCGGGGATTATTACTATTAATTTTACATATTAAAAACAACTATAGTAAAACCTGCAAAATTTTACCCAACAAGGGATCACCAAATGCAACGTTTGACTAATGCTAGCGAACCGCTACAACAATGAAAGCTTTTACTAATGAAAATACGTACATATGTACATATATACAAACATATTCATAATTGTTTGTACACAAGTTTTATAGCGTTTGATTATGATTTGTTAACCAGGTTACGCTACTTATCTTATCAAAGTACTAATTTATGTACTTATTCGAACCATTGTGTATTTGCAGGAAGGATATAATATTAATAAAGCCATAATAATCTATTATGTACTCAACAGTGTAATTCAGATTTCATTTACACAAAGCTTAATTGCCACTTGTAAGTAATTTCAGGCTTATAATATTTATGATTTTTACTGATCAACAAGTGAACAAGTCCAGTTCAGGCTTATAATATTTATGATTTTTACTGATCAACAAGTGAACAAGTCCACTTCTCTGTTGTAAATAGTATGTTTTATATAAATGTTTTGGTTTATATTCATGTTTTGGTTTTCGGTTTCATACGAAATATCTTGAAGAGATTTCCTTTGCGACTGTGTTCACACAAGGCCTTTTTTTTGTTTTTTTTTGTAGACGAGGGGACAATTAGAAAAGAGGAAAGGACTGTGCCGGTCGTGCTCGGGTGACACGCTTTGCGTTCTTGTTGGTAACAGCTCGCAGCTATGCAATTCGGCACTCTTGTTTTTGGTTGTTTCCATAGCGTTCGGTTTCAATTGAATGTTAACATTATGTTCGGAAATTTAAATTTTATTATTTACTTTTCGATTGCAATATAATATGCATAATATTATAGAAATATTTTTGAAACTTGCGAATGGGGATACAAATTTGCCAATGAATAAAAGGTTTGTGTAAATGTAGTTGTGAAAATGCAGAAACTTGTCCTATTTAAGTTGTCGCACACATATCCCTCGTGTAAACACATTGTGCGAAAGCAAGAGAGAATTTGTCGATTATGAGCGGCAAAAGAGTCCTCGTGTGAAAGCAGTGTAATACAACAACGAATTCCATCAAATTAATGGCAGATTATTTTAAATTTTTTAGTTTCATTTAAGAACGTATGAGCCGGAAAGTGATTATGAAATAATTTAAAGATGGTTGCCAGGTTTCTTCTGAATAACATAAAAATATTTTAATAGCTAAACCCATCAACCTTCAATAAAAGGTATTTTATTTAGAGTTCTATAGAGCTGTCACCTAGCTTTGCAAATATTTCAAAAAATATGTACATATGTATGTATATACAGGTTGGTTGAAAAGTTTCTGCGCTCGAAATGAAAGAAATATGTTTTTGGTACGAAATATATTTTGTTATTCAATATAATCTCCCTTAACTTCAATACACTTACACTTACTACAATGATCTTCGAATAATTTTATACCATCCCTATAATGAATTTCTGAAAGCTCTGCAAAATACCCGTCTACGGCTATAATAACTTCTTCATTCGACAAAAACCGTTTTCAACGAAGGAGTTCTTTCAGGTTTTTGACGAGTTAGTAGTAGCTGGGAGCCAAATCTGGTGAATACGGTGGATGCTCAAGCAATTCGTATTTTAATTCATTTAATTTTGTCACTATTAAAACACCTTTGTGAGCAGGCGCACTGTCTTGATGAAAAATTATTTATTTATGCTGCAAACCAGGTCTTTTCTGACGAATTTTTTCATCCAGCTAATCCAAAAGGCTGCAATAATATTCAGAGTTTAATGTTTTACCTTTCTGCAGATAATCAATCAACAAAATACCCTTTGCCTCCCAAAAAACTGATGCGATAATCTTCTTTGCTGACCGTTGTGACTTCACCTGCTTTGGAGCTGAACAACCACCTTCAGTCCACTGTAAACGTTCTTGTTTCAATTTAGGATCGTGGTGGTTGATTCAAGTCTCATCCATAGTTATAAAACGACACAAGAAATCGGTTTTATTCTGCTTAAAACGCTCCAAATCATGCTGAGAAATTTGTTTTCGATCCGGTTTTTGTTGAATTGTTAACGGGTGCAGCATTAACTTTCCAAACAGCTTTTTCATATGTAATTCTCCATGTAAAATATGAAGCACTCGTTTGTCTGAGATGCCAATGGCATAAGCAATTTCACGCTTAGTCAAACTTGGATCGTCACATATCAATATTATGAACTTGCTCAAAGATTTCTGGTGTGGTTGCGGTTTTGGTCGTCCTTCGCGTGGATCGTCTTCAAGCCTAGCACGACCACGTTTGAATTCACCAGCCCAAAATTCAACGATGCGTTTTGAAGTTGATTACTCCTTATAGCCTTTCGAAACAAAGAATCTAATCACTGCGGGATATTCAATGTTTTCTATATAAAAAAATACTCTGACACGTCAACTTCAAATGGTTTGTAAACAAAAAATTAATTGACAGAATGACTTGTAATTTGGAGCTAGCAGTGCTATTTCTTGGTGAGTACTACTCACTTTTCAACCAACCTGTATATGTTATATGTAAGTATATTTCAAAAACGAAGAATATACTCAGTGACACGATTCTGTGTATACAAATTTGTATTGGCTTAAAAGATTTTAAAAAGAAATGATAAACGTTGAAAGTTCCAGCATACGCTATAATTTGAGATTATATTATATTTAGTATTATTGTTCAGTTTTTTAGTATATGCTTAATTTTTTTCTTTTTAATTTTAAATTGCAATGAAATGAATCCCAAAGTGAAATTCCAAATTTGTATGTGCTGAAATCCTTAAGGAATGAAAGTATTTTGCTTCTCCTTGGAAATTTTTAAGTCACTTGAAGACTTATGTCAGAAATTTAATATTTCCCATTATTCAATCTTACTTATTGTTTTACACATGCAAAGTTTTGTACAAATTCCTTCTGCTTCAAATAATTATTCCAACTGCTGCTAAGTCAATACTTTTTACACTACACAGACATATAGGTCACACAGGGATACAATTTTGGATTAAATTACAAGCTGTCGATAGTAGCTCGACAAATAGGTAATGAGGGTTCTATCGATTGGTTGACCTTGAACTTACACCATTTATTACCTTTTCCCTGACCCTCTTTGTTGTCTCTGATGATTGAAGGGCTCTATTCATAAATTAAAAGTGCCATCGGTGGCAATTATCATCAGAGCCAAAAAGCAAAAAGTATGCTCTCAAGTAGGAAAAACAATCTAAGTAACAGTTTATTTTCGGAGTAACGGAGCTGGTACCCTGTCATGATCCAAAGTTTTTTGAATCATTGTCCTCTTTTCAAATGTGCTGCGCATCTATATCAGATCGTAGACTTTTATAAGCAGCAAACAAACTACAATATTAATAGAAAGGTAAATGTACTTTATATCTTGCTAAAATGTAATTCAAAGGCATTCCAAGTTAACTAGAGCTACGGTTTGAAAAACTATGTGCCTTTGCAAAACTTTGGTACCAGGTCCATAAATACCATGTACTCAGAATTAATCAATTTTTATAAGTTTCTTTTTATTTACAAAGAGATGGGTTTAGATTATACTTCAAACCAAGATTTGCTTGCAAAGCTACGAAAAGTTTCGAACTGTTTTTAAGATTATGTCTATTGCTATACAATATATATTAACACCGAGTAATTACTATTTATTTATTAATAAAAACAAGTCAAAACGCATTTCTATAATTAAATACCTAACGGCGCTTGTCAAAAGCAAGGGTATTATACCCTTCAGAAACCTACCTCCACATTAGCAATATGGCAAACATTTTACTAGCGTGTTAGTTACCGAAACAAGTTGAAAGCAGAAAACTGCCGAATAGGCTCAATGCCGCAAGAATTTGCCAAGATACAGCCATGAAATACTACAATAATAACTACAAAGCTAGAAGGGTCACACGATTTTGTACATACAATGAGGATTCACAACAACAAAATAACTCTATGTAACAGTGCATTCACCTAAACTACGCCGGTGGCTGCAACTAACTGGCACACGACAACAGGGGTTGAAAACCTTTTGAAGTTAAACAAAGCGCTGCGGCGAAAGCAGAGGGTTCCTTCGCAGATAATACAGCAAAAAATCACGCAGCCACAATAAGACAAAGACACGGAACATGTGAGTGCGGTGCTTTCGAATATGATTTGCTATTTTGTAAACAAAAATATCCGATATTGTAAGGCGAAATATGAGTAACAGACAGAGAGTTTGCAGCTCTCTTTGTGCCTATGGCGCTATAAAACATTGCTCGCCCGGCGGGGGTGGTTTGCTAATATTGTGGGCTGTCTGCCCTCCATACGCTCGATGGCCAAAGTAGATAATGCTCATCACGGCTGCTTATTATCCATATGCCTACTGTCTGGTGATGAATATGAACTTATGAATTAAGTGCTATCCTCAACGTGGCTGTGTCGTAAATACTACAATGCAAGGGTTGCGGAAGCTTCTTCAGTGAATTGCAAAGGTCTGTTTTTTTTAATATGATATCAATAACATGGGCTAATAATATCTATCAATGGAGTGAGTTTCGAGTTGATGTTTGAGTGAAATTTAATACTCACGACAACTCAATCGTCAACTAACGGTTGACATCATTTGTACTTTTTACAATTTTACCATTCATCGCCAAGTGTTATGTACATACATTTATGTTATATATAATTGTAGATATGTCTAATTATATCTGAATTTGAAGTCATAATCAAATTGTGTACAGTCTTGTGCAAAACAAATGCAGCTGATAATCTGGTAATGTCGCAAAAATTTTTAAAGTATATTTATGAATTTCATCTAATTATTTTTTCAATGTTGAACTTTTTTAAAAGCACTTATTATTATTAAAGATTGAAACCCTATAAAATATATATATATATGTAAATAATCAGCATGACGGATTGAGTTGATTCAGCCATGTCGGTATGTATGAACTAGTCTTACAGTTTTCGAGATTTCGATTTGAAACAATCTTTGCACATCATCGACTCACTATAACATATAGCTGCTATACAAACTGAACGATTAAAATCAAGTAGTTGTGTGGAAAACTTTTTTATTTGACAAGATATTTTTTTGAAATTTGACACGGATTCCTGTTTAAAGCAACTGTGCAATTTTCCAACGAATTTTTTTTAGATCGGAGCACTATATCATATAGCTGTCATACAAACTGATCGATCAAAATTCTTTCCTTATTTGTGAAGGGTCTTATAGTTTCGGTGCAACCAAAGTAAACGTTACAATTTTTCAAAAATTTTACAAGAAACGTTCGTTCTATTCGCACTCAGTCTCAGGTTTTACAGAAGAAGTTTCAGAAAAATAGAAATTTTAAATAAAACGAATATAACATCATCACAATTGCAAATCCTTTGCTCAATACATAATTTTTGCAATTAATGTATACATTTTCTGACTCTGTCCGATGAGGTTTGAAAAAAATCTTAATCCAAATGATCATATTTTGTCCTTGTAGTTTTTCTAAATACAGCAAAAATTTTACCTTTCCTTTAAATTCTTTACCTCATACTTTTCAGTTAAATTCCTTAGTTTTTAAATTTTTAAATTTTCACTAAAATTGTTTCTTGTACTTGCGAAAAATTTGAAATGCAAATTAATTGGGAAACAGTTTTTAGTCTTTTGGGGGATGTGGTTCTTGAATGCGTTGCGTCAAGTATTGCGAATTATTAATAAGTAATTGCGGAACTGTAATGAGTTACTTCTTGGTTTATGTAATCTGTATATCCAAGATTTTCTTGTTATAGTTCTTAGATGCTAAAAGGTTAACTTTTCCGAGTCACTCTTTTGCACCGATGATCATTTCAAAATCACAGTAATATTCTTTACAGTCTGCTAGTGTCCACCAAGGGTATATTTGAACATTCGAATTTTTTTCATAAGTACTCTCAGTATAATAAATGCATTCACTAAGAGGGTTGCCATGCATTGATTTTGTTTCCTCAAAATTCTTCTTGACATACCGAAAACTGTCTATTTTATAATATATTCATGGGTAGACATTTGAATATAAAATTATAAAACAAGATACTTATCGCAATTCTAAATCTATTGAAAAAACTACAGCGACATAAATTTCTGTACATTTCTGAGGCGGAGGTACACATTTTTGTACCCAAATTTGTTGATAAGTCCGTTTTATTCTTATTGTCGTCATATTTATTAATAAATCTGTCGTATTTTTTAAACAAATATCAAAAATTTCATAATTGATTCCGGTGTAAGTATTTGATACATAATTGCACAAGTTTACTGTACGTAATGTTAAAACCACCTGTGTACTTTGACATCTGGTTTGTCAGCTTCACCGCTACGAAATCATATACCTATAAAACACAAACTTTTTATTGAACAAACAAATAAAAAATTAGGCTCATCTGAATTGAAAGAGTCTGATAAACGCTTCTGATTGTAATCCCTTGCCAATAGCGTGAATCATTAATTCGTTTAACAGCACTGTTAAGCTTAGCATATGCTCATACATAACATTTAATTTCGTTGTTACTTAATACTCTTAACATTGATACTCGTACGCTGTGCATCTGCTTATAGCTATTTTTTAATTGAAGTAATGCGAATTTGTAGACGACCTTTGCGTAATCTTCGCACTTAAATAAACATAAATGTAAACGTTAATATTATTGTGTAAATTTAGTGCAGTTACTTCGTTTTGAGTTAGACGTCTTTTTAGTGTTTCCTCCGATGTTTTTATTTTACTATTTACCATTCATTAATGTAGATGAGTACCTTTTTTTCACAAAGCTATTGTTTTAATCGCTCCAGTGTAATGGACTCTTAGACGACTATTAAGTATGTGCAATAAGAAAATATTAAAAATAATAAGATATCTAGGTAAACGACAGTATTAATAAGCTTGTGTTTTGTTGTTTTTGAATTGTTATTAAATCGTGTTAGTGAGTCATTTATAATATCAGCATGTTATTGAATTTTCTACAAGTGTAACACTCATTCTAAAAACCTTTTCCTCTAAGCAAGTTGCAAAAGAACATGCACTAAATACATATATACTTTTTGTAAATAAAATGTTCAAAATTTTTGATTTTCTTCCAGATTCCTTTTCAATTATAATGACATCTACAGTCAACCCCCTGCACAGTCTCTTTTAATATTATTGTGCAAATACTTAAGCAAGTTTTCTAAGTTCCAGACAAGTTAGAGTTCAAGCTGGTATGTGTTTTTCAATTGAAGGCTTTATTTGACCTAATTAGAATAATCCGGTTTAGGTCATATATACACCCTTTTGTTTGATAATTTCTTTTACCAATTTGAAGTTAATTTCATGTGTACACTCATAGAAGCCTATTAGAAAAAACCGGGACATTCGATTTTCACAAGCTTCTCTTGAGGCGAATTTTTCAACAGCAAATTCATTCAGCATAGACACCAGCAAGGAGTGTTCCCTGAGTAGGTTCACAGTATAAAGTGGATGCATAGGAACCTTCTAGCCAAGCTCTGTGAGTTTCTGGCGTGTCACTTTCGCTGTGTGTGGCCTGGCGTTGTCTTGATGAAACACAATTTCTCTCCTGTGGACCAAAGCTGGCCGCTTCCAGGCGATTGCTTTCTTCAAACGGTCCAAGTGTTAACAGTACATACAAGCCCGAATTAAGAGTTTGGCTGTAGGGGGGCAGCTCATACATTGTAAACCACCGTATTAAGCGGATCAACGCGATTCGAACACGAGCGTTTTCGGTTGACGTTGCCGTAAGTGTCATACTTTCCGAATCAGAAATGGATCGATGAACATTTCGTTCATATAGCGTAGCCTCATAACACTAAATATATTTATTTTTACCAGACTTTAAATTAGCTCAAACTGTTGAAAATTATTTAAAGGGCCGGTAAAACAATGTTTCAAAAAATTAAGAAAATTGTCATTTGTAAAACAAAACTTGTACAATTATTTGTTTGTGGTGATTATATTTTATGTACTGAATAACCACAGAGGTCTCTAAAAGCAAAGTCCGCCATCGCAAAAATTGCACTTCAAGTTAAAAACAAGAAAAAACGTTAACTTCGGTTCCGCCGAAGCTATAATACCCTCCAGAAATACAAAAGATTCCTTACAAGAACTTGATTTTGATCGGTAAGTTTGTATGGCAGCTATATGCTATAGTGGTCCGATCTAAACAATTCATGGCAGCTTGATTCATCAGCTGTAGTTTGGGATGTTTTACATCATCAGTTGTTGGTCCGAATGCCAAAACCCAATTTACGATTGAGTTTATTATGAAATGTCTTTTTTTGTTTAGATATTTTTTATTACGATATGGCTCAACTAATTATATGAGCACAATATATGTTATAAATAGATCTGATAGATTTCCAAATTAGTTAAGAATAAAGCTATATGGTGTAATACTTTTAAATAACATTTTGAAAGTTGGTTTTATAACGTGTTTTTGAGTACCTAAATTTATTTCTAAACTATTCTACTATAATTACTGTTTCCGGTTGTCATTTATATTTTAAATGCTAGGTATATATTATAAATATCTAGAAACAATAAAAGTACACCTTGATGTTTACTATAAAAATATAATAACAAAAAGTGAAATATTAAAAAATAAAAATTACAAAATAGTAATAAAAAAAACATATAAAAGATAAAGATAAAATTAATAAAGAAATAGTATTTTTATATGCAAATAACCACTTTTGCGAACCGAATATAAAAATATTATAATGATGTCTTTCAAAGTCATGTTGATGGACTACATTAAATAATACTGTATTTTACAACCTCTTGATCCTTTTTATTTTTTGATTTATGACATTCTTCTAGGAAACAAGCGATATGTACCCATATATATTCCGTGTAATTAAAACTTTCTTATATCTAGATATCTGCTTAAAATTTCACTCAACAACAACTTAACATAAAAATATTTTTTCAATATATACTAATTTTAATCAACGTTTTTGCGTGAACTTAAGTTTTGATCTCTTCTCATTCATTCAAAAAAATCTGATTACATGAGCTCAATTAATTTTAATAAAATTATTTTTTTTTTCAAATTTATACGATCCACGGTGAGTTCCTTTCACTCGATCTTCATTTGTGACATTCGTTGGTTACTCACCCTTTGCAATTTTTTATTTTGTATATCAACTTATTATTGCTAACACGAAACCTTGCTTCAAATTGCAAAAAGCGGTAATTATTTATCATAATAAAATACTTACCGAACAGGTTATTTTCCTTTCATCACCTCGAGTTGCTTTGAATATTAATTAAAACATACAAATGACATTTAACACCTTATCTTCATCTTTCATTTCGCGCGGAAACTCATATATGTCAAATGCCGAAATTGTTTTGCGCATTTGAGCATCTCAATTTTTACAACCAGAAATTAGCTTCCCACTCAGCGCGTATTAAATCTGCCGCCTTCTCGCCAATCATAAATGCCGGCGCATTCGTATGTGCCGTTGGCGGAAAGGGTATGATGCTCGTGTCTACGACTCTTAATTTTCGTATGCCATGCACCTTTAACTGCGGATCCACAACTGTGGTCTCATCTGTCGGCGAACCCATGCGACAGGTGGCCACCTGATGATGCAGCGTATAGGACAAAGTGCGTATAGAACAACGCCAATAGTCGTCACTACCGAAAACATAATTTTCACAACCGGGTACCGGTTTGTCATATAAACGTGCGCCAATACGTTGCATAGCTGGTGTTTCGCCGATGCGTATGGCAGCCTTAATACCTTCCAAAAGATGTTCGATATCCTCTTCGCTGGAAAAGTACTTTGGATCGATGATTGGCCATCTTAGAGGATCGCGATTGTGCAACCACAGCCGTCCCACTGAACGCGGATGAAAGTCCATAATGAGCACGGTAAAATGTTCTTGACGTGCAAGTTGTAGTGGCAGATAGAGTTGATCGTAAAGATCTTGACGAATGTTGCCGCCCTCCTTGAGACCTGTACCATCGTCGGAAGCCACGCCACCCAATACTGTTATCAGCTCGACATCAGGCCAATCAGGTGGTCTTTGTGAGCTTGGTATTTTAACGAAAGCCAGACATTCCACACCACCTATGCTGGAGAGACGTGTGCTTCGATCGCCGAATAAGAAGAAACGTTTGATATCGCTCAATGAAATGCTGGTCGGATATGTCGTTTGTCCGGTGGTGTTGGTTAGAAACACAGGACCTATATGCGACATGTGATCATACATGCGCTTGCCTACAGGCAGTTCTTGTATGACCGGAATGCCAATAGCGTTTAGATTATCCGCAGGTCCTATGCCCGACAACATTAGTAGCTGTGGCGAGTTAAAAGCGCCCGCGGACAATATAACCTCTTTGTGCGCTTTGAAAATGTACTGTTTCTTCTGATGCAGAAACTCCACACCATACGCCACCTTTGTCTGTGGATCTACGAGCACACGCAAAACGTGCGCGAATGTAAAAATGCTCAAATTCCGACGCACACGTCTCACTGGTCTGATGAAAGCACGATATGCGCTATGTCGCCGTCCATTCTGCGTTGTCGCCTGCACATACGACACGCCCACTTGCGATTCGCCATTATAATCGGTATGCGGATGCCCGGCTTGTTGTGCACCACGCACAAAGGCATGCGAAAATTGTGTACGATAACCGACATCTTCAACATTCAACGGGCCCGAGTGATTGTGGTAGGGCGACCATTCCAAGCCGGCCAACTGAGCGTTCTCCGATTTGAGAAAATACGGCAACACCTCGTCATATGACCAGCCTTTACTGCCTGCAGCTGCCCAGCCATCATAATCGCGCCTATTACCACGATTATATATCATATAATTGATGGAACTCGTGCCGCCCAAAATTTTACCACGAGGCAAAGCGCACTCGTTGTTGTTCATGCCAAAGCACGCTAGTTTTTGTGGTACCGATTTGTAGCCCCAATTTGAGTGCGTGCCTTGCAGAAAACCAGCCGTTATAGGGATACGATGTGCAATGTTTTCGACGCCGCCTGCCTCGAGTAAAACCACCGACCAATTCGGATTCTCAGAGAGCCTATTGGCCAGCGTGCAGCCAGCGGCGCCGCCACCCACTATTATAAAGTCGTACGCTGCATTTTGTTGGGGCGCTGTCAAATGAAAAAGGCGCAATTCAATAAAATGTTTATGGAAGCGCTGAATACAACTTACTTGGCGCATTAAACTGTTCAATTACATTCGCGAGACCCAATTGAAAAATGTTATCTAAAATCGTGTTGGCGGCCGTTGAGTTCAACCACAGAGCAATGAAAGTCAACGCTAAGTGTACAAATTCCATTGAAAATTACTAATCCAAAATTTCAATTTTTTTTTTTATTGTTATTGTTATTTTTATATTTTAATATTTTAATATTTTAAAAAGTTTGCGTAAATTGTGTAACGCTTGCTGTATAAACACGCTCGTCTGGCGCTTATTAACTTATGGGGTCAGCATTACGAATCGTCTTAATTTATAAGTTCATCGAGGAATCTGTCGCGCTTGAGGTTAGCGTACGCAAACTTATAATGTTAGAATTTAATAAACAACTCTGCTAAACCAGTTAGCGCTGTTAAGTTACATAGGTTAAGAGCGAGCACTTAATGTAGCGGCAGTGCTAACTGTTAACAGTTTGTTTACATTTTATCGATCAGCTGTTCGGAGTGCGAGTAAGTGAGCGCAAAATAAACGCAGCGGGAGATCGAAAGCGCGTGAGTTGAAGAGCATACAGAAAAGTACATATGTCAAAATCGCCTGAGACCGGCTAAATTGCGCTTGTTTACTATTACACAAATATGTAACATCTGTAGACCTTGCCTTCTTGCCTAGCTAGCACATGTTTGTTGATCAACAATGCGCCCAGTCTGTCGGTCAGTCTATATGTTTTGTTTACGCAGTCCAGAAAACCTGTTTAAACACTTGCGCCCATTTTTTTCACACATCTTTCATTCATTTCATTTACATTTTGAGCATTTGTTTATAAAACATTATCTATATATTTACTTAGGTGTAATACATACATTTTTATTTACATCTTTTTCTTGCAAATATTCAGCAGCCCACTTTTCTTTACACTCATTTTTGGGTTATTAAGCATATAACGGCTTATTTAATACTTTTACAAACAACCGATAGATGAAGTTTGTGCAGAGCAGTATTATATTCGTACTGATGGCATGAACCACAATGATGGCTGAACAGTCTTTGTAGACCGTGAACAGGATGTTTTAAGTTTTCCACGATGTTTGTAACACCCATCACCAGGAAGTGTCAGGGACCCCATAAAATATATATGTAAGTATATACGAGTACATATACATATGATCAACGTGGCGAGCTGAGTTAATTTAGCCATGTCTGACTGTCCGTCTGTTTTTTTATATACTCGAAGTAATCTTTCATTTTTAAATACCATACCCTACTTTTCTCACCCAGAAGCGGCTCATTTATCGGAACGGCAGATATCGGACCACTATAGCACATAGCTGTCAGACAAACTGAACGATCGGAATCCAGTGCCAGTTGTGTGGAAAACCTTTTCATTCGACGAGATATTTTCACCAAATTAGGCATGTGTTATTATCCAAGGCAACGGCGCAATCTCAGAAGAAATTGTTTAGATTGGATTGCTAAAGCATATAACTGCTATACAACCTGAACGATCGGAATCAAGTGCTTTTCATTTGACGAGATATCTTCACGAAATTCAGCATCGGTTATTGCCTACGGTAATGATGCAATCTACGAAGAAATTGTTCAGCTTGGATCGCTATGTCATATAAGTAGCTTCCATACAAACTGACCGATCACAGTTCTTGTAAGGAATCTTTGTATTTGTGATGGGTGTTATAGCTTCGGTGCATTCGGAGTGTTTTCTTGTTCCAATTAATTTTGGTACGACGTGCTAATATGTACATAATTTTATATTAATCGCTCGCTCTTGGACTTCTAAAATAATAGCAAATACTACGGGTGATGAGTAAGCAGAGGGACTTCTCAAAGGACTTTCCCGCTTCTTGGGTGGTGACACTGAACGAAATACTACTTAAAATCAACGGAGGAGGAGTTAAAGCAGTATCATATGTAGACGATATAGTCTTAATGGTATCAGTGAGAGTATGTAAGAAGTCTTACGAAGGTTACATCTATGGCCGCGAACAACGGACTAGGTTTCCACTTCAGTAAGACGGAACTCATGCTATTCACGAATAAAACAAAAATACCTTAATTTCAACTTCCCTCACTCAGTGGTACTACAATGTCCGCACAGCAAAATATTTAGGGCGATACCAAACTGAAATGGAAAATGAATGTTCAGAAAGTAATACAAAAAGCTTATATGGTGTATTACACGTGCAATCGAATACTCAACAGTAACTAGGGGCCAAAACAAAATCAAATAAAATCAGGTGGATGTATACGGCTGTAATTGGACACATTTTTACAAATGAAGCACTGGTTTTGTGACCAGCATTAAGAAAACAATATAATATCAGCAAATCAAATGGAATACAGAGAACAGCCTGCGCACTGGTTACGGTGGCTATTAAGTCAAGTCCGACTTATGCTCAATATGCTTATGTATCAACTGCCCATAGACGTTTTCATACGAAAAGTGGCAGCATGTTCTGCTATAAGAGTTAAGGAATTACGTGATTAAAACAGGAAGAGTTTCCGATATTCCGAACCAGCTCAAAACAAATTTAAGTATGTACATCAGACTATATCCTTCCAAGGTTAGATTTCAATAGTTACTTTGAGATGAGAATACCCTCTAGAAGTGAATAGAGAAGAGGTTTAGTAGGGGAGGAAGATGCTATCCCAATTTATACCGTTGGTCCAAAATTGACAGCTAAGTAGGAACGTGGGGTACTTTGAGGATCTTGATAACTATTTCTCTACCCGTCTACCAAACTCAGATAGCATCTTCCAAGCAGAAGCACTAGGCATAGAGAAGACCTGTGTGGTTTTAGTGAATAATATGACAACACAAGCATTAATGACTCATTAAATAGGCACAGAAAAAGTATTTACAGAATTACAGCTAACATAACGGGGCGTTGAACATGCGTTAAAAATGGGAATGCCCTATAGCAATATTTGCCGCAGCTAAAAACTTTAAACGTTCTACACTTTCGCTAGGAGTGCCCGGCTGTATGGATAGTGTATCGAAATGGCGCATCTAGCTCCTATTAAACCCGAAGGGGCTGCACTCATACCTACCTACCTACAGGTGATGGAAGGCAATAGCTCAAACGTAGGGTTGTGGATATTGTTATCGTCCATACATTGGCTTCGAGAAGCCTTTAGGGCTTATCCTAGATATGAAGCCTTCGTTGACTGCTGCGGAGAAACTATTGGTAAAAAAAAGGAGTTTTTACCGGAAGTAGTCTATTGACTTTATGAAACCATAGTTACGTCAATAATGTTTCATGGTTTATTTATGTGGTCAAGTGTGTGTGTTGATAAAGCAGTTAAGCCTCTCCGTGGTAAGACTGGTCACTTAATTGTCACAATTTCCAAGCTATTGCCAGTGACTCGACATTATAACGATCTGTTAGCTGTCCGTATAATGCAGAAAGAGGTTGTTCGCCCGAACAACTAGTAAATGTGTTTCAACAAAGTTATCGTAAGTCATGATGAGATTATAAGTTTGTGACTGAATCCTTAATAATCGTATTAATTCTTTGACAGCATAATCTAAATAAATGAAATTATAACGACTTAAAAGTTTTTAACTTAGCTATTTACAACAGCTTGGATAAAACACATACACTGGAATAATCTAATGTATTTATAAAAGAAAGGTTCTTCTTTCACCTTTATTATGTTTGACAAGAGAGCAGCGCTCTGACATAGCGAGAAGTAAGGAATGAAACCACAAAATTTAGATTTACTTTTTATTTAATTTACGCTATCTTATTTTGCATATCTTTTGTAGATTCTTTTTTTTTTACAAAAACTGGCCAACTGGTCTAAAAGTTCAAAGGTTAATAGAATCAAGACTAAATCGTTGAAATTTTTCAAACTAATTAATGGAAATATTTCGCACGTATTACTTAAAGCTAAGAATTTATTGGGGTCTATAAAATTTATTAACTCACTGAGATTCATATGTTATAGACCAGGGTAGATAATTTTTTAAAGTAAAAAAAAAAATCAGAATAAATAGCAAAGTTGTCGGTAATGAATAGATTTACAAATTTTTATTTACGCCTTTTTCACATAACCTCAAATGTCCCAAATACACTGTATTTTTTAAAAAAAATTTGTTTCTTCTTATTTTGACCTAATATGAAAAAAATTGAGATTTCAATCGAAAATTCTCACGTCAAAATATCGGACTTTTTTAAAAAGTCAGTAGGTCTTATGTTTGTTGAAATCTCTACTTGCTGATGGTATAAAAAATATATACAATACATTACTATAGTAAATTTTCTCAGAAAATGCAAAAAAGACCTTGATCATACGAAACTTAACTTGGACCCTTGAATTAACCTTTCTATATAATCATAATCCATGAGTATAAGTAAATGATTATTTCAATGATCTCTTATGGAATTTAATTGATCATCAATATAAGTACACTTTCACTATATTTTGCACTGTCTCTCTTTTAAGAAACGAAAGAGAACAAGTAAGGAAGAGCTAAGTTCGGATGTAACCGAACATTTTATACTCTCGCAAAGTCAAATGGTATACTCGTTTGAGATTTCTTTGTGGATTGACTGATATTTTCGGTAGAAGGTCAACTATAGGTACTGGGGTCCACATATTCAGTACCTAGGGGCTTGAACAGTTTTGGTTCGATTTAGAAAATTTTTGGTCACAAGGTGGCATACTTTAAACGTATTATTCACGCAAAGTTTTACGCCGATATAATCATTGTTGCTTGATTTGCATAGTGGAAAGTGAAAGAATCAAGTGGTATTTAAAATGGTGTCATATGGAAAATAGGCGTGGTTGTAATCCGATTTCGCCCATTTTCGCACTATGACATAGAAACATGAAAAGAACGTTACGCACCGAATTTGGTTGAAATCGGTTAAGCAGATCTCAAGATATGGGTTTTCACCTAAAAGTGGGCTGTGCCACGCCCACTGTCTAATTTTGAACGCGGTTCCTATAAAGTCATCTTATACCATCTCAGAGATAAAATTTAATGTCTCTGGCGTGTTTAGTGCTTGATTTATCGCGCTTTTAGTAGTTTTTAACAGTACCGTTATATGGGGAGTGGGCGGAGTTGCCACCCGATTTCAACTATTTTCACACCGTCAATAGAAGTGCTAAAAACATTTGCTTCCAGTGAATTTTGTTATTATAGCATTAGCGGTTTAGAAGATATGCACATTAAACCTATTAGAGGCGGGACCACGCCCACTTTTTAAAAAAAAATTTTAACTGCAGATGCCCCTCCCTAATGTGATCCTGTGTACCAAATAACAGTCTTGTATCTTATTGCGGAGCTTAGTTATGGCAAGTTATTTGTTTTTGATTAATGGCGTTTTGTGGGCGTGGCAGTGGTCCGATTACGCCCTTCTGCAATACCAACCGTCTCACGGTACCATGAAACATGTCTACCAAGTTTCATAAAGATATCTCAATTTTTACTCAAGTTAGAGCTTGCACGGACGGACGGACGGACAGACGGACGGACGGACAGACGGACGGACGGACAGACAGTCACCCGGATTTCAACTCATCTCTTCATCCTGATCATTTATATATATATAACCCTATATCTAACTCGATTAGTTTTAGGCGATACAAACAACCGTTAGGTGAACAAAACTATTATACTCTGTAGCAACAGGTTGCGAGAGTATAAAAATTACTTAGACGTTACAAATTCAAGCCACTCTGACGTCAACCAACAAGCATCTATATAAAATTTGATCGTAATTGACCTCAAATTCTTTTTCACTTTCTCACATAGGCACCTAATCAATTGTCACTTTAAAATAGCTTTGCCGGAAACAAATTAACATACTTGTACGCATATAACCGTCTGTTGATGGCGCCCAAAGGCTTGTTTGCGTTTCAGTTCTGGTTTCTTTTACGATTCATTATTTGGAATTCAAATACCTGTTATCGTATATTTTATTGATTTTTTCGCTTTTAATATTTACATATCTAATTCACTATGTTTCACTTTGTTCTTGCCCCAACAAATTGGATGATACTTAACCTAAATCTTTTATTAAGACTTCACGTCAATTAAAGTTACAAATTACTATACGAGCCTATTAGCTAGAACATACTTTTACTCTTTCTCTCCTATTCATTGCCAGTCTCCACGTATCATGTCGGCTGCTTTCTCTCCGATCATATACGACGCCGCGTTAGTGTGCGCCGTAGGCGGGAAAGGTATGATGCTGGTGTCGACTACACGCAAATGCTTTATGCCGTGCACTTTCAACTCAGCATTGACAACAGTGCTGGGATCACTTTCAGGGCCCATCCTACATGTGGCCACTTGGTGATGCAGGGTGTAGGACAGCGTTCGTATGGAGCAGCGCCAGTAGTCGTCTGTGCCGAAGTTGTGTTGCTCGCAACCGGGTAACGGTATATCGTGTATTCGTGTGCCCAACGCTTGCATCGCTGGTGTTTGAGTGATGCGTATGGCCTCTTTAATGCCTTCCAACATGAACTGTACATCGGCCTCATTGTGAAAGTATTTAGGGTTTATGCGCGGCCATTCGAATGGATTACGGTTGTGTAGCCACAGACGGCCGACAGATTTCGGATGGAACTGCATGATAAGAAAACTGAAATGATCCTGTCGTGAGACTTGCAGTGGACGATAAACTTTGTCGTAGAGCTCGTCTTTGAAGTTTGCTCCCTGTTTGAGGGCAGTGCCCTGATCGGTGGCCAAGCTACCGGCTACTGTGATGATCTCCATATCTGGCATATCTGCGGGTTCCTTGGAGCTGGGTACCTTGAAAAATGTGAGCGCCTCTACGCCGCCAATAGAAGATAACATGGTGGCGGGATTGCCCAGCAGAAATGACTTTACCACAGTGGAATTTAGATGCGCTATGTTTAGTAGTTGTCTATCAGTATTGATCGTAAATGTGGGTCCAAAGTGACACATGTGATCATAGAGTAGTTTGCCCACCGGTAGTTCCTGCACCATTGGCACACCGATTGCTTTCAGATTGTCTGCAGGTCCTACGCCGGATAACATCAAAAGTTGTGGTGAATTGAAGGCACCTGCTGAGAGTATGACCTCTTTGCGTGCGCGCACTTTATAGTATTTATTGCGATACATAAGCTCCACACCGGTTGCACGTTTTGTAACGGAATCTATCAGCACACGCGTTACGCGCGTCATTGTCACAATATGTAAATTTTTTCTTTGGTAACGTATCGGCTCAATATAAGCGCGATATGCGCTATGACGTCTACCGCGCAGTGTGTTGGCTTGCACATAAGCGGCACCTATTTGCGACTCACCATTGTAGTCTGTGCGTGGATGTCCAGCTTGCTGCGCGCCCTTCAAGTATGCATGCACTGCTGGTGTGCGATACTGCACGTCCTCTACGCTCAGCGGTCCTGTTTGATTGTGATATGGTGAGTCCTCCAAACCAGCCAGATCAGCGGCTTCCGATTTAAGAAAGTACGGCAAGACTTCCGCATATGACCAACCTTTATTGCCGGCAGCAGCCCAGCGATCAAAGTCGCGTTTATTGCCTCGGTTGTAAATCATATAGTTGATGGAGCTGGTGCCACCCAAAACCTTTCCGCGTGGCAAGAAGCACTCGTTGTTATTCATGCCAAAGCAGGCGCGTTTCTGCGGCGTCGACTTGTAACCCCAATTTGAGTGTGTGCCTTGCAAAAACGCGGCGAGTACAGGCATCTGATGAAATATGCCCTCTACGCCGCCCGCTTCAATCAAGTATACCGTCCAGTTGGGATTTTCGGACAGACGATTGGCGAGCACACAACCTGCTGGCCCGGCGCCAACTATAATGAAGTCGTAGCTGACATTTTGACGCGGCGCTGTGTGGAAAGAAGTAATATATAAACATTTTTGCATTTTAGTTTAATGCAAGGCGTCTTACCGTCTTTGTAGAGCGAAGATAAAATTATATTTTCCAAGCCTATGCCAAACACTTGTTGCAAATGCTGCGTCTGCGTAGATTGCGCGCAACTTGATGCAATCAGCACTGCCGCTAAAATTAAAAATCTCAACAACCAATAGCAGACCTCGTTCATTTTGTAAGCTGTAGGTGTTAAATATTGTTACGACGCAATACTCCGATAACCGTTAAGGTCTAAACTCTATGCAGTTTTAATAATTAAATATGTGTCCAACTTGTCGCAGCGCCTAAACGCGATTTACGCGCTTTGAATTTTAAAATTTAAATTTAAATTTTCTTCCCAATCCTTAACGACTCACTTTCTTATTACTTTATATATTATTCGGTTCCTTTTCTGCACCCGAATTTTGACACGTCCAACCAACTTGCCGTCTTTGGTGCGACTGCGTGCGACGCGTTACAACTGAGGCTTTTGAGATTCTTTCGGTTTGTTTTATTTGTAACTTTATGCTTTGTTTTTGTTTCCATGCCATTTCTTCTGCATCTTTCTACAGTTTAGTGCGATTGCTTCGTAGGTCAACGCTCTACACGCGAAATTCTTAATATTGACAAGGAATGCGCACGCACCTGTACTCTTCGAACGCACTTTTGGTAATAAAATTACCGTTGCTTGGTTCAAGTAGCCTTCCTAATGCTTGCGCGTTTACATTCGGCCAAGATCTTACACTGCATGCTGCGGTACGCACATGTACGCGTGTTTGTTGCCCTTAAGCAAACAAGTTTTATTTTATGTTTACATGCAAGCAAACATAATTAAAAATCAAAAAATCGTAACCAATCCATTTACATTTTTTTTTTAAATTTATGTCAACGTTATTTATTTACCGGTATAGTGGTCTGTGGTACCACTACATACCGCATTTTTGTTGGGCCATCTAGCTGCTGATTGCCCACCTGTCCATCGTGGTCCAACGACGCGCCTTCTAAACCGGTTGGCGATTTCTCATGCTTAGTAAACCTATGACAACGCTCTATAGTTCGCTTGATTACTTACTTACTTCTCTTCCTTTCTTCCACCCCCGCCTTGCAATGCTGCACTCGTTGCCTGCGTTGTTTGTATGTAATGCAAGTTGCTGAAGGTTTTGTTGTTTTTGGCGCCGATCTACGACCATGAAGCGATCTTGAATTTAAGAGTAATTTGCCGCCGCATTGTGTTCGCTCGAATGCGCATTTCAGTTACAAAAATGCTTGTTTGTATGTGTGTATGTTAGCTGCCGGTGGCGACTCAATGGTTTCGTTCGACAACCGAAGGCGTTGTCAGGTGCTTTAGGAACGTCTTATTGCTGGCAATCTGCCAGTCATCGCCATAATTTGATTTGATTGATTTGCTATATGGTCAAATGATTGACAGAGTTATGTGAGCTCTGAACAGACATCTAAATATATCTACGAAATGAATAGTTAGACCGAATAAGCCATAATCCGATTTTATATGAAATTAAAGTTAAATATTTAGAAATAACGGGTGAACCAAGTAGAGTTGCTTTTTTTAATATCCTTTTTTCGTAGCATGGAAAGACTTACGTCTGAACAACGTTTACAAATCGTTCAACTTTATTACGAAAATTGCCGTTCTGTAAAGAATGTATTTCGCGCCTACTGAGCGTACTATTCGCAACACCATCACCTATCTTGAGACCCAGCAGAGATCTTAAATTGAAAGCATACAAAATGCTGCTTTTGCAAGAACTGGAGGCGTTTGACCTTCCTAAGCGACATCGCTTCGCTCTATGGGCTCTTGAAAAGTTCCAAGAAGATCCGACGTTTTCGAGCCAAATTTTGTTCAGCGATGAGGACCATTTCTGGCTCAATGAGTATCTAAATAAGCAAAATTGCTGCATTTGGGACAAACAGCAACCTGAAGAGATTCAAGACCTGCCATTTCATCCAGAAAACACAACGGTTTGATGTTGTTTGTGGGCCGGTGGAATCATCAGTCTATATTTCTTCAAAAATTGCGCCGGTGAGAACGTAACCGACTATTTGATGCCTGAAATTGAAGCTAGTAATCTCGGCGACATTTTGTTTCAACAAGACGGCGCCACTTCCCACACATCGCACCAATGTATGGGCTTATTGAGAGACAACTTCGGTGAGCAGATAATTTCTTGTTTTGGGGATATGTAAAGTCTAAAGTCTATGCGGACAATCCCGCTTCGATTCAGGCAATGGAGCAAAACAGCACCCGTGTAATTCGCCAGTTACCAGTCGAAATGCTCGAACGAGTCATCGAAAATTGTTCGACTCAACGTATGGACCAATCTTCAGAAAAGAAATGCCAAAGAATGTTCTTTCGAATGATAGTAAATATTCCCCATTAAATTTGAATTTTCTGTGTTTTTTAAGTAGGCAACTTCGAAATGGATCACTCTTTATAAAAATGTTTTTTAACTTAGAAAGAAAATTTCCTGTTCGGGTTTGGTTATCATTTAGTGGTTAAATAGATTTTATACTACATAACTTTCATGATTGTGTCTTATAAAAGTACGCTGGATCCAAATTTGTACCACCTTTATCGCATTATTCCTCAGCAGTCTTAATATAATAAAATCAAATGCCATGAACATCTCAATTTCTTGATATGACTTGGTCACCTAAAGAGACATGTCATAAAATGATGACCTTTTTATTAACTTATTTGTTTACAATAACACTTTTTTCTTTTAAAACTACCTAAGGGACTTAGTAATATTATATAACAGTTTTTATAATATAAAAATTTTTTGACGTGCTGTATGCTTGGATGTCATAAAAACTCGTTTTGTGTTTAAATAACACTGTATTTGTAATTATAAGTTTGACTTTTGAAAATAAAATCTCAAGTGGTTTAAATGTGGTTCTGATGAAACTCATGGCAGGGCAATTTGTAAAAGTGTATATTATTATATATTTTTACCGATGGATTAAAGCCTGAGAGAACGGTATTTTTGAGAACACACCAACAACTTTGGTTTCAGATTTTTTAGTTAATTGTAAGAGGTCCAGTGAGTACTTCGTTCGCAGTAAGGTTCATCTTTCTTTGGTTGTAGGAATTCTTACTGGTCATTGGCAAATCGATATTATTAAAAATGTGATCGATTTACATTTGTGCAAGTTGCCTGAAAAAATACGTGGCTGTATCATCTCAATACTTACTTTTTGAAAGTTCCAGAAAGTTCAAGGAGCTTTGGCGAGACTTTATACCCAACTATAGGAGTATTTTCGTTTTTATAAAGAACTAAAGTCCTTCTTCGTGATCATCCATAGAAACTAACCTAGCTGAACGTAAATGGATTCGACATATATACTTCTAGGAAATTTTACACTTTGAAAATTTGTATAAAATTCCATTTTTTTAATGTTAATCTAGTCAGCGAATGTGAATCCCTTCCCATTTCCACTTAGGTAATGTGCTGACGATGTATGTAAATATATTTTGCTGGAGGGTTTTAATGGCTTCAAACAAAAGCTGATATTTTAGTGGTTTTTTCTATTTCTTAAAAATTTTTTTTTTTTAGAAATTATTTTCTATTCTATTTATCTATATGCATATGTATATAAAAATTACGTATCATATTTTGTCCGGGGTAAATTCCTAAACTACTCAACTGATTTTACTAAAATTTAGCAGGCTGTGTCCAGTTTGTTGCAACTTAAAAGTTAGGATAGTATATATCTCAACTATGTTAAAAAATAAACAATTCATAAATAAAAAAATATATATTACTAAACAGAGGCATGTGCTCGAAATTAACAAAAATTTAATTTTGAGTAAAATGCCAAATGAAGCATTTTTCAATTCGTAAACGATATACATGGCAACATTTCAGGTATTTCTCCAAATTTGCAATCGCATTAAGCCTAGTTACATACACACATAGCTTTTTATTCGTCTTATCGTTGATAAACAATATTTATTTAATACTTTTTTAATTTCTTTCTCAGGTACGTTTCCACTGTAAATTTTTATCAACTTAATCGCACTGAACTATGAAATATAATACTTAAACAATGAGGTGAGAAAATATTGCTAACTCTGTGACCTTAACTCTTATCAATATTAAGAAGATTACTTAAGAATATAAAATATATTAATAAAAAAACGGAAATATGGTATTAAACACGTCAGCGCCTATATACTTGTACGCCTATATTTATATATAATATTTATATACTACTTGTACTTTTAGATATTTATATGTATATACATACAATTTGTATGGAGCATCTCAAAATAACGTACGGAGCAAATAGACGACAGATCTGAAAATGAAAGAGGATAAGGAGAAAAAAATTTATGCAGACAAGTTTTTATTGAAAAATATTTTTCTGACCCATATATTTATTTATAGTCTTTTCGCAACTATGCTGTAAAAATAAAATGAACTTCCAGAGTATCAACAAATGTCAAAAAATGTTAGAGAATGTTGTCTATCTATTAACGTTTTTATACTCTCGCAATATGTTGGTACATAGTTCGAAAGTTTTTTCGACCTAACTGTTGTTTGTATCACCTCAATCAAATTGAGATAGATATAGGGTATATATAAATATATATATCTGATCAGTGTGACGAGAGGAGTTGAATTCCGAGTTATTGTCTGTCCGTTCGTCCGTGCAAGCGATAACTTAAATTAAGATGTCTTGGTAACAAGTACTCCTTGGCACCCAAGGGGCGTTGGTATTGCAGATGGACAGAATCGGACCATTGCCACGCCCACAATATGTTCTTTGATATAACAAATTGCATTAAGGAGAGACACCTACAGTTCATTTCGAAAAAATGGGCGTGTCCCCGCCCTTTAATAAATTGAGTGCACATATCTCCCAAACCACTGAAGTCCAATCAACCAATCTTACTCAAAACAGATGTTTTTGTTATCCTCTCCGACTGTGTGAAATGGGATGAAATCGGATAATAACCCCGCCTTTTCCCCATAAAACGGTTTTGTTAAAAACTATTGAAACTTCGTTAAACTAATAAATAAATGAGTAAGTTCCATAAAATTTTACATCCAAGCCCAAGCCACGCCTTTATAGTAGCCGGTGACAAAATTGGACTATGGGCGTTGCACCGTCGACCTTTAGATGAACATTCGGTAGATAAAATTTTCCACATATTACAATATTACCGTATGAAAAAGAGCTTAATCTAAACACAACACCGCCTATTTTCCACATAACAGAATTTTTAATTTCCATCTAATTCTTTTACTTTCCAATATACAAATCAAGCACCAATGAATTTATTTATTTAGATAATTTTAAGCCGTTTATGTTGGTCAATATATGTGATATTTCAAAGTTTTCATAAACATAATGTGCATTAACGCTGAATATGAATGAAATCGGTCTAGACTGTGGCTTAAGCCCCTTATTCCCATTGTAATAATTTCCTTTTCACCGACTATTTTTTTCTCATACACCTAATATTTTAATTTTAGTCTCTTTGGTTAAGTTTATATCACGTATATCTTATTTGAGTTAACTAAGTTGATTTTATTACCAATATTTCGGATATAAAGCAAAATATTGTAATGAGACTAAGTGAGTCTATGACCTATAACACTGGTAAACAAAATTAAACTTTTGTGTTTTATGAA